ATATTCCTGTGATATATGTAACAAAGCATTCAATCAGATGGGTAATCTGAAGACACATCAACGCATACATAGTGGTGAGCGCCCATATTCCTGTGATGTGTGTAATAAATCATTCATTAGAAAGAAAGACCTCAAGATACATCAACACATACATAGTGGTGAGCACGGTGAGCCCCAGTGACTGCACGTGCAACTGTGTTCAATTGGGTGACAGGCTTCGCATGTGACAACGAAACAGTGAAAAAGAGATCCAGCAGTGGTCGTCCCAGAACATCATGAACTCCGCAAATGATTCAAAGAGTGTCGGAACTGATCCCCTGTGTGGTCACCGATTCCCCTATAGTGACGCCTTACATGATGCTGTCATGGGGTGGATACGAGACACCCCCAAACAATGGTTTCGTGAAGCAATACGGAAATTGCCAGAGACCTCCAGGGAGAATATGTGGAACTGGCCGATGTGTAACCTGGGAGCCACCACCGTCGAGGTTAGTCTAAATCATTTGTATTTTAAAACACATTGTAGACCTGTAAAATACATTCTAAATTTATGTAATTTATATAGTACTGTAATGGAAAAAATGTGCGAGTTTCAAGAGAAATATTTTTCTTTTCGCACCAAAGAATGGAATAACCTCATTGGCTGAATCATTATTTGTACGCTTCTATCACTAATAGTATTGTCATTAGCAGTTCAGCGTTTGAGGTGTACGGACGCGTGTGTCTTTTGTTCCTGCATTCGCTGTCTCATCGTAATTCTAGCTACGAGTTGACGCGAGTTAAGTAACTCCCGCGGCCACCACGCAGCGTCGTCAACCTCTGATTGGAGTGCGTAACTGTGTCGCACTACCAATTGTTTCCCGTTTTAGTCCAGAGGTGACATCTGTCGATGTGGAAACAACACTTAAAGAGGCTGGTCTGCACCAGACTTAAAAGTAAACTTGACTCATATGCGTCATTTCATGTTTTGGTTAATTAAAACGACTTTCCTTTAGTTAATAACACTGGTGTGTGGCCGAATGGGTGCCTCATTGCCCCCTTTTATGGTAAATTGACTCCTGATCAAATGCATTCCTTCCGCACTCCTGGTAAAACTATTACAGTAAGTGCTTTGTCTGATGGTAATATACCTATTGTGCCTGAGGAAGTCTCTGTTCCCCAATGATTATGGCACTGGACTACTGTGATTTTGACATCTTTTATCAAAATGTTAGACGTCTGCGGACAAAATATTGCTATTTCTTTAACAATGCTTATGATAACAAGTTCGAAATTTATTGCATTACGGAAACCTTGCAAAGCTTGCAATGTGTCCTACACAGCTGTCGTAGCCGTAACTATATTACTCCATTCGTCTTCGATAGAGGGAGCTACAGAGCAGAGACTGAATGCAGTTGAGTTCAATAATCGATCTATATTTCAAAGTCGAAAAACACTGGTAAAATCGATTTGTCAGAGTCATGTTATATATCAATCGATAGCCAGCTTTTTTCTCTATATGGTTACTGGAGCCAGAATACATAAACTACAAGGCCAGTCGCTACGTAGAAGGAGAAATCTTAGCGCGCATTGTGCGAGCATGCTCGGCACTCCATGCTATGGGATGATTACGTCATGACGGGCGATGTTCGGCACTCCACGCTGAAGGGTTGCCTTTACCCAGATGCAAAACTTGGACGTTCGCCCTCCGGTTCACCGTACAACCTTCCTGTGTTCTTACAAGTTTTGCTTTTTCTATTTGTGGAAAGCCATGTTTTGTCCAGACACGCCAGGCAGATACAGAGCATAAGAAGAAATATCCCAGTAAGTAATTAAATCTCTTTTAACGTCAATAAGATTCCAAAAAATTTACCCGAGAATTTTTAGAAACATAACCGATTCAGATTCATTTGAGATTGACTACTAGCGATTTTAAGTAAGATAACTGTTTCAGAATCTTTATTTTTTAGTGACATATTTTAAGATTTGAGTCGATCAGAGCTGGAATGACATAAGTCAACAAAAGTACAGAAGGTGTATTTTTTCCTTATATTTCGATTTCATCCCCAGCCTCACCGACGCGAAAACCCCTCAAAATCTTGTGGTTGTGTACGACTTGAAGTTTCTTCAACCTCGATGCTGAAGGTAATCGAGTGATTTGTCTGTGAGGACCGAAGAATTGTGAAGATAAAATTAACTAATACTCTCTGTGGTGTTAATTTTCTAGTGATGTGTAGTGTAGTGAAATCGACTTTCCTGTGTTACATAATGTGTTGAAATTTTATTTGGAGTGTACTGTACGCGGCCTGCCTTCCAGCAAACTTCTGGTAAGTGACTCGCTCCGAGGTTCCAATTCACAAAGTTCAGCGGCCAAAATTCTGAAACTGAAGCTGACACCCCTCTAGCGCGTTCTACGGACGGGTCCATCTCACACGACCAAAATGAGTCCTTTGCGCATGCGCCAGGAGTTCTCACTCGGCCTCTACATGACGTAGTTCTACGTGCCTGGACCACTTTCGGCTCCGATGCTGGAAGACATCGCCAGATATCTCACCGACAGTTTTCTGAATGAGGATAATCAAACTCCTGTTGAGAAACTTCAATATCTGAGCGCAAGACTTGGTTTTGATATGTGTCCTTTATGTCAGTTTTCTTTGCACAATTTCACATCCGCGTTACGACGTTGTTCTGAAATACGATATTTGAATTCTAATTTTTGTTCAGTTCCTCGTTTAATCTCCTAGATATAAAATGCATTTGAATCATTGACTGAACAAAAGACAACGGAGGAAAATCGGCTGCGTACTTAAATATAGACGATCTAATTCATTCGTCAACTCAAATAACAGTATAATAATAAATAAATATAACCTTTCTATTTACAAAAAGCACAGTTCAGGACGTGAAAGTTACGTAACAATGTACTAAAGGCTTGGAATAAACACTCCGGATATTTGTTCTCTATGGATTATCCTTTACCAGCTTTAAAATTTCTGATTTGCCTCTAACAATCGCCACTTGCGCGTAACCAGCTGGCATTTGTTTCCTTCCGCCGATAAACATAAGAATTACGATTGTTTACGGCGTGGCGTAGCAGGGTGAGGTTATGTGACGTAATAATAGGCATATAGCGAATCTCGCTGTTGTAATAAAATCTTACGTTGCCGAGAGACAACTTATAAACAGTGTGTGAAAAGAATTCTGTGAGGAAGAATGTCATTCTGCAAATCCAAGGTTCCAAGATTTCAGAAAGAAATTAGTAAGTACATTAACGCTCGTGTCTTTATTACTAATTAAATATTTATGCATTTCATTGTGTTGATTAATGTGTTTTAATATCGAAAATATATCGATAAGGAATTTCAAACTTCACGTAGCACTTTCATATAACGAAGCTTCTAATACAGACAGCTTCAGAAAACGAAATACAGCTGGAGAGTTCTCTAAACGTGTTTTTGTATCGTCACGTATAATTCCGAAGCACCGAAGATCGAGATTTGTAAAAACAACAATTTTTAGAAAATTATTTGTGTGGATATGTAACGTGTTATCTTACTGTGAGGGAGGAACTTACATTGCAAAGTTTGAACACCGAGTGTTGAATAAAATCTTATGATAATTAACTGATTGATAAAGAATGAACATCAAGTCACCAACAACTGTTAGAAAAGTAAAACGCTGGCTAAGATTGGGGAGAATTTTGGTATGAACGCATCTTGAAGCTAAATTACTTGGGAGACCAAAATTAACAAGGGAAGATAGATTCTGCTTTATGAGGGTAGGAGATTGATTTCCAGTAGTGGGTTTTGGTATTCGTGGTGCTTGAAACTTTGGGGTCTGCTCCCAAAATGTTACCTGCATGTTTTGTTGCCTAATTTAAGTACATAACCAAATTTGTCAACTATATTATTATATCGTGATTGGTCCTATGACGTGCCAATTGTTCACGAAAGCGACAAACACATTACGCAGTCATCAATACGTGAAACCGGTGAGCATTACATTCTCACTTTCGTCTTTATCAACATAACAACACACGGTCACGTCTTACAGTCGACGATACCTTGAAATCGATTAAATACGATAAAACTGCGTTACCGCTGGGCGTGTCTGTGTCATATTCGCCCCACCTCCTAACCTCATTCCCTCCTGAGACCAAGCATCTGAGCTAGAATTCGTCATGGCGTTCCTGTCCCCCTATCCCAGTCACGTGGCGCTACCATTTAAACAAGGACGACACTAATTGACCTTGAATTGGTCATTGTTAAATAATGCTCTAAGTTGCTTCCTTAATTAATGATTCTTAAGTTTAGGTGTTTTCAGACACTCATGATTTGTGTTCCTTCTTCAGGAAGATAATTTTTCACCTCCATACAAAGCTCGTATTACTCATTTTTAAATACGCTCGCCTGCATAATATGAGTTCAATTCTAAGTTTCAAGCAATGTGATCTATTCTGTGATTCTCCTTTAGGCTGTGCGCCCCCTGTAGCGTCGTATGAGCCGAAGTACGACGTCAATATAAAGGGGTATGTAACATACGACACGCAGTTGAGTGCCCGATTTGACGAGGGGCCATGTTGCTTTCAAGACGAAGTCAGAACAAAGTCAAGGGTAACTATTCTCGTGTAATTACCTCCAAAGAGTAGGGTCCTACATCAAAAGATGACTGGTGCTCAGCTGATAAATAACCCGAAGGTTCATTGCAGTGTTCAAAAGAACATGCCACTGTCATTTCAGTAATATTTTCTCACTTATGATAAATTCTATAAAGCTGTCATGTTCCTTCAGGTTTACCTCATGCTAGCTGCCATCACACCCTTCTTGATCTTAACACCTTTTTGCATCCTCATTATAAATATTATGCTTTCTTTGCATTATGTGCACAAAAGGAAATCATAGGGCTGTTATGTCTGTCCACCCTTTTACAGATTTTCATGAAATTTGGTATGGAAAGTGTACCCCAAATTTTCCCTTATTCAATCTACTAAATGGCAAATATGTAAGATGATAGTTATAATAATTCTTTTAAGTCGCACAAACGAAAGTTCTGAGACGCATGAGATGGTCCAGCACCTTCCAGTGCACAGAGTGCATCGCGTCCCGGATGGGGCTGGTTAGAGCTGGAGAATTACATCGGAGACAGTTCACGAGAGCAATGACAGCGACCGAATATAACTGGCTCTTGGAATTTTATTCTGTTGTATTTTATTTATATTTATATTTGCATTGAGCTGAACAGTCTTTTGCATAAGTATTGGTTTAGGGACCTTGTTATCAGAGAAGTCACTTCAAACATTTAACCCATTCAATCCAAACTTTTCTCAATGTGTAAGTTACAATATATATACAAACATATACACATGCATATGTAGTCATGTATACATGCAGAATGCTGACCTGGTAAGATGATCTCTGTACTTCAGTACAAACTGCACTTTTCCAGTCTTCTTCCTCTGTGTTTCTTTTCCCAGAGAATATAAAATTAATGCATAATCGGGCAGTAACATCTTTTCTTACATATGATTCATCATGAAACTACTGCTGAATGATTTCTGAATAAA